TTCTCCTTTGATGTTGGTGGTCTTCTATAATGGAGCAGGAATCAGAAGCCAGGAACCAGGAGTATCAGAATAAAATATTTATTTGAAAATAAAAAATGATAAGAAATATTGCACAACGCGTTTCAACCAACTAACAGTGGTCTTCCTCAGGTGCTGTTCACAGCTCAAATGAATATACTATTGTTTATATAGGGAACTGTGTTCCAAGCTTAATTGCTTAATTTATTGCACATAAAAAACTAATTACAATTATTTTACCTTATATGGTCCGGACCGGATGTGTTCTGCCACCTCCAATATGGCTACACATCCGGTTCGGAAATACAATTAACCAAAGAAATACGTATACAGATATAAAATAAAATCTATCATCCCCATCATAATCTGCCCTCACAGAATATATAAATAGTAGGTAACCATCAAATATAGGGCGTAGTAAGTCAATCACGATCTGCGTTATGTCACTTCCGGTTACGAGTGTCATAATGGAATCCGTCCGTCACGTCACTTCCGGTTTCGCTGAGAATAAATCAGCAGGACGTTCTTCTTCTTTTCCCATATTCTGACAGTGTTCATGCATCCTAAGGCCAAAGTGGCCATCTTGGAAATGGGCAATTAGTCCACATATGTACACCTCGAGCAGACATGATTATAATGGGAAAAATCCAAAAAATAATAATGGAAATAAATAATAAACATTAGTTATATATAACATATAAGAATAACATACACATATTCATCATACCTAACAAATAAGGCATAATGTGTATATAAAGTGCTTATCAAAATATAAAATACTATTTAAAATATAAGTTGTAAAATATAACTAAAACTAGTTGTCCAGCAAAATAGTCATAAATAAACACAGGAACAGGAAACTTTAAAAAGGAAAAGAAAAAATATAAATAAGTATAAAACTAAATTTATGATTATTATAACAATTTATTGATTTCAAAATCAATATTTAGTCCTTTTGGAGTTAGAGACCGTAATTCAAAAATCCATTTGGATTCTTTCAGGCCCAGAGCTCTAGATATATCTCCCCCTCTCCAGTTTCCTACCACTTTTTCAATCGCAAAAAAACTTAGAAATTTGGGGTCCGAACCATGGTGTTGTAAGAAGTGCCTTGATACACTATGGTTTGGAAAACCTTTCTGAATGTTTCTAAGGTGTTCATTAATTCTTATTTTAAGCTGACGGGACGTCTTCCCAACGTATTGGTATCCGCAGCTACATTCTAAAAGATAAATAACGTAAGTAGAGTGGCATGTAATTAGAGATTTAATGTGATATTCCTTCTTGGTAACTGAAGAGTGGAAATTTTCCACTTTCTTTTTAAATCTTAGAGTATTGCAACAGGCCCGGCAAGATCCACAGTAAAAAAAGCCCTTCTGATCCTGTGTCCTATTGCTTAAAAAATTCTTCGGAATCTCTGTTTTGATAAAACTTGATGTTACCATTTGTTTTAAATTTTTTGCTCCCCTAAATATAAACTTGGGTTTATTTCCTATGAATTGTTGAATATCTTCCTCATGCTGTAAAATGTGCCAATTTTTCTTAATTATTTTTTTAATTGCACCAATATTGCTTGAAAAATTAAAGATAAAAGGAATCTGTTTATTTAATTGTCCTGAATCGTCTTTCTTTCTATATTGTAATAAGGGGGACCTATCCATTTCTCCAACCTGATCTATTTTGTCCTGTAAGGCATCTTCTTTATACCCTTTTTCCATCAATTGTGTCTTAAGGGACATTGCTTGAATAGCATAATCCTCTTTCTTAGTACAGTTCCTCCGTATCCTTAAGAACTGTCCTTTAGGTATGTTATTAAGCCATGGACGGTGGTGGCAACTATCTAATTCAATAAAACTATTAATATCAACTTTTTTTAAAAAGGTTTTAGTCATCAACATTTGATCTTGGATAAAAACATTAAGATCCAAAAAATCAACACTACATCTGCTAATAGTCTTCGTAAGTGTAATTCCCCAATCATTATGATTAAGATATGTAAAAAACTGAAGAAAAGTGTCTTCTGACCCCTTCCAAATAATAAAAATGTCGTCAATGTACCTTTTATAGAGGACCAAGTTTGCGCCAAATTCATGTCCCTGGAACACAAACAACTGTTCCCAAAAGGACATAAATAAATTCGCATAACTTGGCGCAAACTTGGTCCCCATGGCCTATAACATAGGCTGAGTCCATTTGGATGAATGGATAAGTAATGCAGATCCCTGAAAGCGTGGGAGTCAAATGGTCTATATATATAAGTGGACTTGATTAGTGGACGTAATACA